CCTCCCTGAGGAATTTCCAACTGATAACCAGATGAACCAGCTGAATAAACTTTGTGTCATCATTTCAGGACTCTTGGATTCTCATAGATGTTATCCTTGGCCATTCCTCAACATACCTCGAGAATGTTTATGGATCTCACCGGAGGACATTGACTGATTACAGTGACCTCGAGATCATCTATAAGCGTTGTTGACCGCTCTCGTCTCCGATTGCAGAATTTCTACGTAAATATGTGCTTGTTTGTGCGAGGTGGGTTTTTTTTAATATTAGAAAGTTTTTTTTCTCAGGCAAGAAAAAAAATGTCTGATAGGAATTTTTTTCGCCTCCAACTCCTGCATGTGTCCAGTTAACCACTGTTTTTGTCTGTCCAAACAGGTCTCACTTGTAAATGAGTCTTCGAGGCTCAATGTGATTTATCTGTTTAAATAAAGGTTGAATGAGAAATCCAGGACAATCTAAATACCATCCAGGTTCTGGAAGATTTTTTTTTCACATGGTTGTCACCCAGTGTGAAGGGAGCCTGTGAAAAGTCTGAATCAATCTGATTTATTAGTAACATTGGTAAGTAAAATATATTGCATATGCGTATTACTGTCTAATAAGAGGAACCAACTAAAGATTGCTCCTCATTATTTCTTACCTCAATTTGTTGAGTTAGAAAATGCTTTTTATCAATGTTTATCACTTAAACTAATTTATATCATTTATCATTTTATCATAGAAAGTTGTGTTTCCTTGTTACTGTACTGTAATCATTTGTATTTTTGCTGACAAGAAACATCCTACTGTAAATAGTGAAAACACCATTGGAGTATTTTGTGTGTTATTTTTAACTTCTTCTCTGTGGTTTAAGCGATAAGTGTGGTTGAGTGAGGATGCCAACGGTCAGTCTGCTCTTTCTGTCACACTCTGAGAGGAAGTGATCAGAGTGATGGTGACTTCCACCATGATAAAACTGGGTCAAATGTAACCCCCACTCCTTTCACCACAGGCGAGGCTGAAAAGTGTGTGTGGGGGGGAACGAGGAAGATGACATCACCAGACTGTGCGTGAATATAAGCGTGGGGACACTGGAGCGTGGTTTGCTTTCTCAATGGGTTGGTAACTGTGTTGTGTTGGGCCCTGAAGGCATCCCCAGATTGTTTTGACATGTTCCCTCCTCCCTCGATGGTCTGTGGGCTGCAGTGCCACATTAACATCTGTCCCTCTGTATTTCATCTTTACCCTTTTATTGTTTCTTTCAGACAGTTTTGTTATAAATTGGTTTGGTTTGTCATTTCCTTCAAGAATCTTCAAAACTACAGGGTCAGTCCTGTACATTTAAAATGAAAATCCACTCTTACGCTCCTTTCACAAAACACTTCAAGCCGAGCCTAATGATGCCTTTTTGTGGACTCAGTGTGACATAGGGGGTTGAAGTTAACTTGCCGCTGTTACTCCTCTGAACCACCAAGGAGCCTGGTGAGTCATAATAGTCGACGCATCAAGGCCAGCAACGTGTCTCAAGGGTGTGATGTAGTGATAACAAATTGTGTGTACAAACAGCCGGACATGAGATTCAAACGGAGGATGTTCACTCAGCGCCTCTTTTGGTTTTGTGACATCGTGTTTACTCCTGAACGATCACATTGTCTCAAAATATGGCCAGCTGTACTGGTGGTTTATGAATAACGAAGCAGCTTAACTACAGGCGTGTCAGTGGAGGAAAAAAATTAAAGTTGACATAGTGTGAAACTCTTTTGTGAAAGGAAACACCAGATGAAGTGCTAATTATTTTCCAATGGTGGTTCTTTCATATAAATATTTCTGAAATGCCTTCCAACTCCATGGAAGTAGATGTATGAAGGTCTGATGTGGTGTCTGTCACCAGTGGTTCAGTAATAAACCCTATAAGATGTGACAGTGAACTCTTTAGATTGAACCTGATTGTCCAGAACATCCTGAGGTGGTCAACTGGTCTGAGCTCCAGAGATGTACAAGTCATAACCTTGAACATGTCATTTCTCAAATCAAGCTTGGTCATTGTTTACAGTGTGAAACAGTTCATTATCCTGAAAGAGGCAACAGCCATCCGGGAATATGTCTTCCAAGACTGAAGTCTAAATTAGTTTAGTAAATATATTTGTTTAAATAGATCATTAGATCTTGTCAAAGTAGCATTCATGTAAACGATGCAATCAATTTTTATTTCCAAGAAGAACATGCCCCAAAGCATTAATCAGTCGCATGCACATGTGATATGTTATTAGCCACCATAGAGTTACATAAAACATTAAAGGATGGACTGGTCATGTGACCGTCACTGATTCACTTTCATGATTCTGCAACAATGGTGGCCATTACCTGTCTGCACTTGGCGGTTTGACTAAATGGCCCAAAATAAAGGCTGATTTTATAACTAAAATGTCAAAATTATTATAATATATATGTAATATAATAATAAAATTAGAATTATATCAAAATTTAACAATGCCAGAAAGCTGTGTGTGCTATGGATATTAGCAACAGAAGAGAAGAGGGTAAAGGTCCACGTGTCTCCTTTAATATGTCAGCAGAATTGATCTTATTATTTGATTTTATTTACCTCCGTGTGAATGTGAACAGAAGTGAAGATAATAATGTAACTATTTTTAAAGTAGCTTATAAAACCCATGTTATTTCTGTTAATTAACGAATTAGCTTTTCTAAAGTAGCTTCTGTGCTGTACAGGCTGAACCATGCTACAATTTAGTACAAATTATTAAATAGTTTAAGCTGCTGTTGTCTCTGGTAACAATTTATTATTTCTGAAAATCTACTTTTAAGCTTAAATATAGATTAGACACTGATCACTGCAATTATCTGCGATTAGCAGAGCCACACAATTTAAATGCTCAAAAAGTCAGTTTCAAATTCATGAACTGTTTGAAGTCACAATAATTTAACTAATTAAAAGTCTTAGACATAAAGTTATTAGAAAGATGTTAAAATAATTTGTGACACAGATCTAATTGGGTTTGCTGTTCATTAAACTGTTGTTTAATTTTCAGCAAACTGTTGTCGGCTGTGTGCCTGTTTTGACGCCATCTTAGTTTCTCCACAATATCACAAATGTCAACAATGAGCGGGACGAACAGTGTGCACTCAGTTTGTATTATTTAACTTTATGTTAGTCACCTTCTATCAGAACAAGCATCAATTTTGCAGCAACATTTGCTCATCTTTTGGATCAAACAACACATGCCGATCATCACTCTCCACATAAATAAACAAGAGCTGATAATCCACGATCCTTCTGCTGATTCACTAGATTTTATCTTGACCTCAGCATCCCTTGAGAGTTGCATAATTAAGCCCATGTCCTTCAATTCCTTTTGTTTGTTGCTGCAGCAATCAACCTTAAAACCAGAATGTTTACTTACTGCTTAAAATTGCTCACTTGTTATGAAGTGTTTACATAAATATATAATCAATGTTGTTTTTATTTCATGTGATGTCCTTGATCACATCAGAACTGCAAAGATAAGATTAAACTAGCTGCAAAATTATTAAATGTTCAATTTGCATTTGAAAGTCCGAGAAAATCTGAACTCCAAGTTAAAAAAAAAAAAAAAAAACTGGAACAGCCCCTAAATAGAAAATGTATGACTTCAGTCACGGCTGTCTCGCTAGGCACAAAATCCATCTATCTATCCATCCACTGGCATCTAAGCATTTGTAATGTGTGTGTGTGGGGGGGGGGACACTGGTGGGGGCATCTGGGGGTTCTCTCCAGAAATTTTTGAATAAAGTAGATGCCATTTCCTGCATTTTTTTTTAACATGTTGTTAAACATCTACGTTTGTCTACATAAGTAAACACTTGATTCAATAACTATTTTAGAGAGCACCCGGCCCCCATCACCACCACCACCACCACCACCACCAACAAACCAGTCGACTGCCAGCACTAGCGTAGCGTTAAGCTAGTGAGCAATAGAAAGGTGTCTTTCCCCCTCCTCCCCCTGTGAACGCCCTGCCTCAGGGAAACACTGCATCCGGTGTGGTGAGTTGTGGTTAACCATGAAAACCCAGAGTGGAGTTTTAGTGATCTGAGTATTCTCCTAGTAATCAAGTGGAATGGATCGTTTTCAAATAGAAACAGAAACAGCGCTGAGTGAACTAATACTTCATGGTAAATGTGGAGGGTCCAAATCAGTATTTTTTAAATGTGAGGTAGACACGTTCCCTTCACGTATACAGTAATTGTTGCGACACATATGTATCCATCCAATATCTTTATCCACTTCTTCCTTTTTGGGTTGCAGGGTCAAATTCAAAATCTAAAATAGCAGCCTGGCTGATACCTAAGAAGTGGTATTAACTTTTTAACATCATTAATTTGTATTTCAATGTTTGCATCCTGCTAAATACATGGTGTCCCATTTGTAAAGATGTCTCTACAGTGTTTAAATGTTTAAAATGCATTGTTTTCTTGATAGCAGCATTGACCTGGTCATGAGCAAAGCCCTTATCAGTGTATTTTTTTTCAACATAAAACTGGAACATGGTTAAGTTGGATGTGAGGATGTTCCTGATTTTTCAAGCAGATGAAACTGATAACTCTAGTTGTATTATCACAATTTGTGGTGGTAGGACCAAGAATACAGGCAGGACACGAGGATCTCAAAAATACAAACTGATTTATTTTATGATAATAATAAAAAGCAAAAGGCTGACATGGCAGCAAACTTACAGAGAGGCAGGAGGGAAACACAAAGAAAAACCAAGACTGTGGCATCTGACCGCCAAAAACGCAGAACTGATATGAAGGTGGAGAAAGACACATTTTAAAGGACTGGGTTGATGAGGTAATTAGAGAAACCTGTGTTAAATGCAAAAACAGGAACAGGTGAGAGTGGTCGGGGGAAGCAGACAGAAATCCAGGAGCTGAGCTGAAGAGAAATGAAGTGATGACTGGTAAAACGCAATAACAGAACTCAAACACAATGATTCAAAACTCAGGGAAATAAAACATGAACCGTGAAGGGAACACGTCTAAAAAGAAACTCAAGGAACTACTAAAGAACTGGAACACACAAGTATGTTTTTTTTTCTCACTGTTCCTTGAGCAAACCTGCTTTTAGACACTACAAAGTTGTAAGCTTTCGCTAATTGTAGCATACTAACACTTTCCTTGGTGGTACTTCAACCCACAGAGCTGTGCTTCTAGATGGCTGAAAGGAAATTAAGGCACTTCATCAACCAAAGGTCTCATATTGGTTGTATTTAATAATGTGTGGAATGGGGGTGGACTTTCATTTTAATGACAGTAATATTTCATCCTAACATGAGCCGCCCTTTAACGACTGCAGGAATATAAAAATTAAAGTCCTGTAGTGAATGTAGCAACTTGTTAGTTGTACCATTAATCATAATGGTGATTCAATGATACAAATCTTTATTTATTTATTTATTTGTTGTGTCATGATGTGAACATTACCTGAGTTGAACTGTTGTGTATGCAGTGACCTTCTGTTTATACCATGACCTTGACTAAATGCTCTGTTCTAATTGACCCAAAGCATCTGATTCATTTGGTTTAAATTAGAGGCAAGATGAACAAGTTGGATGGGAATAGGAAGTGCTTCATTTCAGATAATCACATGAGCCTGAAACTTCAAATCAGTTGTTACAGAGAAGAATTTCTGTGAGCCATTAGCTGTGAGTCAGTCTTGTTTTGCTCTCATATTGCAAATAGATTGTTTTGTTTCACATTAAACCGTCTGCATCATAAAATCATTCTGCCTTTCTCTTGTTCAATATTTCAAAACACAAACAAGCCTTTTAAAGAGTGACAAGTCCATCCACAGCTCTTACAGTCCATTTAGCTGTTTTCACCATCAGCCAAGGCTTGCCTTAATGTTTCATATGAACACATCCTGTAAATGAGAGAATTTAAGCATTTCAAAGTGGCTTTATGTGGAAAAAAAAATACCAACACATTAATATTTTATCTGTTGTAGGTAGCGATTTGAAAGGCATCAGATGGAAAAATTGTGTTTATGTTCAAAAGTACAAATGAGTTAACAGCTAGTCCAAACACAGCTAAGAACAAAATGGATTTCTATTGTGTTAAAACAGTTCCAATCTCAAACATTTCATAACCTTCCATTTAAACACTATTTTATAAACTATTACACTTTCATTAATTTGCATTGTCCCGGTTATTTACAAGCACAAAAAGCACTTCCTGGGCAGCATGAGGTACATCCAGCGAGAACATCATATTGCTGCCAAATATTTATGCAATGAGATATTAAACTGTAAGTGGTGTAAAGCTTTAAGTATTAACATTTTCATGGCTGCTTTAATAATTTAGCATTAAAGTTGTTTTTTAATCAGAGTCTTTTTATTATTTTCTTATATTAACACATACATGCAGAACAAACAAAAAAAAATATATACAGCAAAAACCCCTCCCATACCACATCGGCTATATGGGTATGCATATGTCAGATAGGTACTGACACAGTTTCTGTATTCAAGAGAAATGGCTGCCAAGTGTCACAAAATCTCCCAACCGATCCCCTCAAAGTATATCTAATCTTTTCCAAGTGAATATAACACATAACTTCTCTTATCTAGTGTTCATATGCCGGGGGATGTGGATACTTCCGTCTGCATAAAATAAGTTTCCTGGCTAGAAGAGAACCAAAAGCAATCATATTCCTCTCATTCTTGCTAAAAGATGCATCCACAGGGACCACCCCAAACAATGATGATGGGTACACAGTTTTTCCACATTTCCCAGAGAAAGTATCAAATATAGAATGCCAATAACCCCGCAGCATTAGACAAGCCCAGAATGTGTGTAAGAGCATGTCTGAAGTTTATTATTTTAGTGGTTACATGCAGGATCCAGGTCAGTTTTGATGCTGGACAGTTTGTCTTTGGACCAATTGAGATGGTGCACCACCTTGAATTGAATGACAGCAGGTTTCAGACAGATTGCATCAAGGTTGGTTTTTAGGACCAAAACATTTGCTTTTGAAATGGGTCTGCTAGCTATTACTGCTGTTGCTGTGTAAATTTTCATTGTAAATCTGCACAAATTTTTATGCAAGGATAACGCAATGCTGACGCCAGTGTTTATAAAATAGCTTTAGCATGAACCGCTAAGAAAGTTCGGAGTCTGGAGCTTTGAGCATGCATCAGGATATTTAAGGCAGCAGTTTACTTTTGTCTTTGTTGCATTTGGATTAGCCATTAGCTCATGATCTGGTAAGAAATAAATGCTGTTTCCAAACTGAGGCTGTAAGGTAATAATGGTTCATACGTTGTATATTTTCTATAGTATTAAACTCTACAATGGCAAAAATATCACTTTAGGAAAGAGGACTCCTCAAAGGGAAGAAAGTTGCTGCAGTTTATTTGATGTCGTTTTGGAGGATAAGTTTTTAAGAAACATAATCTGTGTTAGTCTGGACAGTGTGTTGCTAACAGTGGTCAGGTTTGCACCTTTAGATTTTTTTAAATCTTAAATACAGACGAGTGTTGACTGTCAGGCCAGTGGTCATGGTGTAAACAGGTACAACATCTGAGGTAGATGTTTAAATGGATACATAGACAATAACTACTTCTGCAATATCCATTTCAAATAAGCATGCACCTGAACGTGTTTCTGGAGTTTCTCCTTTTATTGTTGCATATTTGAAGAGGAAATGTGAAACAGGCATTCAAAGTAAACAATAAAAAAATTAAAAGAAATGTAAATTTGTTGTTTTGTATTAACATTTTTGTTATACAAAAGCATCAATTTATTTTGAACATGTGTGTGTTATTCCCTTTAAGTTGAATTTGGAGTTATCCTTTACGTTTCACAAGTTAATTACTTATTTCTCTGAAACAAATTTGTCCCAAATCATAGCCAATAAAAAAACACAGTTGTGCTCTTGGTATACTTATCACAGATTGGTGTCAATAATCTTGGATGAGCTTATGCTGTTTGCATCCAAGTGTACAAAATGTAAAGCATTTCTCTAGAACTATAACATCTCTAACAATGTGGTATTTTTGACTTATATGTTTCTGTCTCTTCTTCTTCAGCTTCGCATAAACCCAGATGCCTCCCCTCCCTCTTGACGAGCGCATAGTGGTCATTCAGCGTCCTAAAAACTTAGTCTTATGTGATGCTTCCCCACAAACCATATCACAGCACTCCTCTCAAATAACAACCACTTCCAATGGACGACTTCCCCACCCTCCTCATCTCCACACGTCTCAGTCTCATTTTTACTCACCCTCATGTAAAGCTCTCAGTGTGGAATGCAAGCGCAGGTCCTCTCGCGTGCAGAAATTCAAGGCCGACCAGCCTGTTGTCTCAGCAGGTGTCAGACACATCCCAAGCCACTGCCACAGCAATGGTACAGTGACTCTCGGCCCACGGCTGCCCTCCCACACACATACCATTGATATCAAAGTCACAGTAGACAAAGGGGGGCGGGGAGGATTCAGCAACTCATTAGGACGTACTGGAAGTGTAAAAGGTGGCAGAGGAAAATGGGTCTCATCCCAGCAATATCAAGGACAATGTGAAAGAAAAACTGGAAGCACAGGGAGGTCAGGTGGAGTTGAACCCAAGCCACAGAGGGTTCGTCAGCTGTCGTCTTCTCCTGGAGGGGTCCTACAGTTTGTCCCCGCTCAGGCACAACAGCATACATTCAGAAGTGAAAAGGACAACTCTAGTTTTTACAACAAAAACAAGAAGGAATACTCCTCTTTGAGCTACAAGAAGAATTCCAAACTGGGAACTGTACATAAAAGTCATAACGGCGACAGTCTACCCCACCACCGTCACTCTGTCCCTGTGCCCCATGCTGCCATCCTAAACTCCACGTACCCTTCATCTTCTCCTTCTCAACCCACTCGCATACCAGGTTTTTTTCGGCAGTTTAGTCAGCCTCACCCACCACGCACAAAAGATCACCATCATCATATCCTTCATGGTCTTTCTCTGTCTCCTTGCTCTTCCCATGCTGGAAGATTCCCCAGCCCTGACCATACATGCACCATTGATTGCACGCACCCATTCAGTTGTGGTTGCTGGAGGTTGGTAAGATGTGGTGGGTGTAGAGGGGACTCTTCTAGTTTCCAGGGAGGTGGAGGAAGCACTTCCACCTCATTTTCTTGTACTCACAATGTTGGAGCAATGAAGAGAGGGAGTAAAGACATGGGCTTGAAAAATCTGGGTGGTTGTATTTCCACCGCCTCCACGTCCAACACTTCATCAACCAACAGCACCGCCTCTGATTGTCGTGCAAACCTGTTCAAACCTCTGCGCTGTGCATCCTGCTCTGCTGAAGCAGGAAACTTTGAAAGTCCTGCTATTCTTCGTAAGAAACTAGTTGGAGGATGCCTGCCCTGCACGCCTCTCTCCGCTTCAGGCCCTCTGCGGGCAATACAAAGCTGTGTCACAGGTTGCAACCCCAAAGCGTCTCAGACAGGCAGTTCTTCCTGCAGCTACTGCAGCAGCGACCCCATAGTGGTGACATACAACCCTCGAAGAGGGAAACCCCCTGGAAGAAGCATTGGACCGGCTCACCCAATGGCTCTGTACCAGGCTGATGATGATGACTACAGCGTGCGGACTATCTGGCCTGAAGAGCTGGCCAAAAAGATGACTCATTCTAAAGCTCAAAAGAACAACTGTGCTGGGGTGGGGGTAGGAGTTGGGAAAACCTGTGCAAGCATAGCTCAGAATGGCAGTAACGGAAAAGGTTTTGCCTTTTTGGACTGTCAAAATCTCCAAGGATATGGACAGACGCATCTCACAGACCATGCTGGCCGCCGGCAACTTCAGCAGGGCAAAATGGCCGCGCTTGATTTTGTAGGTAGCAGGTTGGGTTCTCGGTACGAAGAGGGCCATAACTCACTGAAGAGGCTCCTGAATAAAACAGAAGATGTAGGAATGAGTGACGGTCTTGATCAAGACGAAGACATAGCATATCCCCAACACAACTCTCCACGCTCTGTATCCCCGCCATCTCCTGTGTCCTTTTCACCTCCACCATCTGCCCCTACCACACTCATCAAACCCAAACCCTGGCAGAGAGAGCGGGAGGGCGGACACTCTCTGCCGTCAGCTCACTCTCTTCACCTGGCCCTGAATTCCCTCAACAGAGAGCAAGATGAAGATAACAATCGAAGTAAGAATAAGCAGATATTTTTTAAGTACCTTTCCATTGTAAGCACTGACATATTAGTTTGAATGCTGTCTTTACAACCCAGAAATTATTTGTACGTAATTCACCCAGACTCGCATAAACATGGGAACATTTCAGAAAAGTATGACTCACTTTTGGATATAAAATTTCATAAATTAATTTTTCTGTTATCACCAAGTTTACTGAATTTTTTTGAGCACACTTATCTGTGGAAACCCTTTATTCTCTCCAACATACAAACATGTCCACACATTTCCTGTCTTTCTCTAGTGAGGCTGTCTCTGCCACTGTCCTCATCATTACCAGCTTCTCTGTCCGATGAAACTGTGATGACTCCTGATGCAGAGAACGCCGTCATCAGTCCAATCCTGCCCTTCCTGTTTCTGGGGAACGAGAGAGATGCCCAGGACCTGGACCTGCTACTGCACCTCAACATTGGCTACGTGGTCAACGTGACCACACACCTGCCCCTGTACCACGTCAAAGCCGGACTGCACTACAAAAGACTCCCAGCCACAGACAACAGCAAGCAAAACCTCAGACAGTACTTTGAGGAGGTTTTTGAGTTCATTGGTGAGTCCGACTTTTGATGATTATTATTGTGCAAGTCTTACTTCAACTGTTTTTAAATAAGCTTGTTTTCCAGCAGTTTGTGGAAGTTTTTATTCAGGTTTCTACATTCAGAAAATAGAACATGAACCAGGACGTGAGAGCTGTTAAGAATGGGTACCAGTCCGTTCTAACCCAGGTTTGTTTTGCTCGGAGGAAACCAAGGCTCTTTCACACTTTTGAACAACTTTATTTTAAACAAGAAGATATGTCAACAGAATACAGACCAGTCTGGAGAATTGAGCTCGTCACAGCAGACCCAGTTCTGAAGGAAACCAGAAATGCTGCTCCTATTTGTCCTCTCGCAGCCCACACCTCTCTGGAGATACTCATTCTGACCTTTGGCACAGTGAACTACACACTATCTTCTTCAGGAGCCCACAGAAGCCCTATTGTAACTCATGGACATTTATGGTGTTATCAGAGAGCTGCCCATCTGCCTTCCTCCCTTTGCGCCACATTCCTCTCTACCTCAAGTAAAACAAAACAGCTAATGTATTAAGCAGGTATCCGGTTCTCATGATACAACTCTCAGTAACTGCTTTCTTTTTAAGATACACATATTTAACTGATCAGGCTTTACTCATAGTAATTTATTAATACAGTTTAAACCTCTTACTAAGCTAAGGTTCATGATTAACAGTGGCAAAATGATTTAAAATAATGTAATTTGTCTGAGCGTGTAGCTAGCCACAAAAAGTATTTTTTTACATTTTAAGTTGTAAATCCAACAATGTCACTCGCTTCGGATGTTATCAGCCATTAGATGGCTGTTATTAGTTGTTATCATCTCCAAATGTAGCGGTCAGACTGACCCTCCTGTACCTCCCAGTGGGTTTAAAGGTACGTTGTTAGCAATGATAATAGGCTCTATTTTTAGCTTTGTTAGCGCTCATAATAGCTTCACGTGATTAGGTTTAGAGTAAAGGGTCTGGCGGTTAGGTTTACGGTCTTGGTTAGGTTTAGGCTCAATGGTAAGGGGGTTAAGTTTAGGGTTGGTCCTCAGGGTCAGGTGTAAGCTTACGTTTAGGAAATGGGTACATAAGCTGAAAACAACTAAAAAAGACACTTCCTGGTTTACCCCCGTGTGACGCTGCCTATTATCAGCAATAATAACGATAATAACGTACCTTTAAACCTACTAGGAGGTAGATGGGACAGTTTGACCGCTACATATAGAGATGATAACAACTAATAACGGCCATTTAATGGACTGATTACATCCAAAGCCACTCACAATGTTCAGTCAGGTCATCTGGACGGTTTCTTTTTTGTGCTGAGACGTTTCGCCCTCCATCTGGAAGGCTTCCATCAGTCTGAGGAAGCATCAAACAAAACTAATTCTCCACCAACAGCCTACTCCAAATTGGAAAAAAAACAGTTATGTTGGTGCTAAGATGGCCTCTGGGGCACGCCCTCTCCTCCGATGCCTGCACTCTCCCTCGTCGACAGTCATGTCAAACTGGTGAAGCCTTCTAGATGGAGGGCAAAATGTCTCAGCACTAAAAAGAAACCGTCCAGATGACCTGACTGAACATTGTTGGATTTTACATCTGGATTATTAAGCATGGACTTTAAGTTGTAAATTTGCTTTCAATATTCCCAGTTCCTGTTCTCAGTTTCTTTTTGTAGCCATTGATGTAAACTGAAGCTTAAAGGAGGAAAAATTATATGTTTCTCTTCCAATTTTATTCTGAACTGGAACTGTGAGCAGCTCACTGGATTAGATCATTGTGAAACACTCTTTAAAGCACACGTCACACAAGCCTTTTTTTAAATACAGGCAATCACATTGAAACATGGGGTCTCTTTCTAAAGAGAAACCTGTTTAAAATAAACATAAAATAAAAATACAGTTATGAAATAAATACAGTAATTACAGTGGATGCTGCAATAAAAAGTACAAAAGATAGCATACTAAAAACGGATACAAGTTTTCAGTGGTGCTTTGTCAATTGTCCTTAAAATGAGTTTAAAATTGAATAATAGAGTAAAGCTGGACAGTTTCAGGACAGATCCTGTTGTAGTTGTAGTTTATTCCAAGATGAAGGACAAAAGGAGGATAATATTTTGTTTTCTAGGTTTTGTTTGTATTGAGAGTTTGGTAAAAGTAGTAAAAGAAAAATAAGTTGTCAGAAGGCCGAGGAAACGTTTGCAAATTAATTTTTCATTCATTCAACCTTTATTTAAACAGTTAAGTCACAGTGAGCCTAGAAGACTTGTTTACAAGTGAGATCTGTTTAGACAGACAAAAAGTAGTGAAACTGGACACATGTAGGAATTAGAGGCAAAAAATTCCTATCAGACTTTTTCTTCCTGCCTGAGAAGAAAAAACCTGTTATTAAAAAACACCTCGCACAAACAAGCACATAGTGACGTAGACATTCTGCAGAGGGGGGAGACGACGAGAGCAGTGAGCATGTCCATAGACGCTCTCGAGGGCAATGTAAGAGTTCTGATAAGGATGTAATAATCAGCCAGTGTCCTCCGGTGAGATCCATAAACATTCTCCAGGTATGTTGGGGAATGGCCAAGGATAACGTCTATGAGAATCCAAGAGTCCTGAAATGATGACACAAAGTTTATTTAGCTGGTTTCTTCTGGTTATCAGTTGGAAATTCCTCAGGGAGAGGGTGGTGAACATCAGATCACATGTTCTCCAGGCAAATTCAGATAAGATGGCCTTCAAGGCCAGCCAAGGGAGCCAAATTCAGATAAACACACAGTTGTTTTGGGGAACAGCAAAACTTAATGACATCTACCTTGAGTCTGTCTTGGTCCACTCTGTTCCGAAATGTTCAAATTACATGGACATACCGATGGAATGTGACTGAGTAAAATCCCTGAGCTCTGATCCATTCTGCCCAAAGCATTTGAGTTTGGGTACTCGAGACACGAACCAAGCCGTCATAAAGGCAAGCAGCGTGATCGGGTCCAAATTTGCTGCCGACAACTTCCTTGATTGTAGATAAAACTAGCAACCAGCCGAATCCAAAAAGCAGGAACCAGTTATCATAAATTCAATTAAATATGTGTCCTTAAAATCCACAGATGGCAGCAGAGATAGACACATCATCAAGTCTTCAAGTTGATGCGATATCCAGCTGCCTGCGTGCCAACAGGGCAAATTGGCTCACCTAAAGCCTGTCTTCTCTTCGAAGAAATGTTGTAAATTGAGTTGAGGGACCAACTGATCAAAACAAGTCCATAATTTTGATTCGGAAGAAATGCAAGAGAGACTCAGAAGCAGTTTCACAGACAGATGGTAGCAAAGCAAAGCAAAGCGGAGAGAGAGGGGAAGGGAAAAGCATCCAATCGCAGCAAGAGCAAATGGTGAAGTGATACCAAATAATACCAACTAATTGATACCAAATAATTAATACCAACTATCCATCCATCCATCCATCCATTATCTTTACCCGTTTATTCCATTTTGGGTCACGGGGGTCGCTGGTGCCCATGTCCAGCAATCACTGTGCGAGGGGCGGGGTACACCCTGGACGGGTCGCAAGTCCATCACAGGGCCACATAGAGACAAACGAGACAAACAACCATTCACTCTCTCACTCACACCTAGGGACAATTTAGAGTTACCAATCAGCCTAACATGCATGTTTTTGGTCTGTGGGAGGAAACCGGAGTACCCGGAGAAAACCCACGCATGCACGGAGAGAACATGCAAACTCCACCCAGAAGGCCCCTGGACCGGGGTTTGAACCAGGGACCTGTTCGCTGAGAGGCAGCAGCTCTACCAGTTGCGCCACCGTGCTGCCCTAATACCAACTAATTGATACCAAATAATCAATACCAACTAATTGATACCAATGCAAAAGTTAGTATGTGAACAATATGGCCACTTCGCCCTGTTAGGAATCTTAATACTCTATAGTAAACGCATCCAGCAGATTTAGAGAAGTAATAGAGGTGTTCTTCTGAACAATGTTACCATGGTTAGTGTGCACTAAGAAGGTGGCAGCAAGAAGCTGTCTGTGTAAAAAATGGTTTATTTCTGTAAGGAAACCCTAGTTTTATTATAAAATTTGATGTGTTCAATGTGGGACCTAAAAGAAAGACTTAGGAATTACATATGAAGACATTTGTGGGGAGTGACAGATTTGAACAGTGGTTAGCATTGTTGCTTCACAGCAAGAAGGTTGCAGGTTTGCCTCCCATCTGAGACCTTTCTGTGGGGAGTTTGTTTATCGTCCCCAGATTCTTTGGTCTCCTCCCAGTGACCAAACACATCCAGGTTAGGTTTACTGGTAACTCTACATTGTCCCTGGTTATGAGTGAGAGTGTAAATGATTGTTTGTCTCAGTATGTCCCCGTGATGGACTTGTGACCTGTCCTGGGTGTAACCCACCTCTTGCACAGACTGCTGGAAATGGGCACCAGCTTCCCTGAGACCCAGAAAGAAGGAGGAGGTAAAGAAAATGGATGGTTGTTTGTAGGAAGACACTAATTCAGTGGGATGTCTTGAGTGGAGGGGGAGCAGGGATTTTCTTATTGTTTGAGGACAACATATCCTGGCTGTCCTAATCAAGACTTTCAATTCCCAAAACTGATCCAAGTCATTTAAGATTAAATATCAAACAACACAAAGTCTCAGTCCTCAATTTATATTTGAAAAAACTTCTAAATTGCAGACATGTTGGCATCTTACATCACAAATAGATGTTGCAGTAGGTCAATAGCAATTATATACTAATTAATGAAAAACGCCTTGACTGAGACCTCAGTTCAATACTCGAGATCAATTTGAGACTACTTTAAAACACACCTTTTATATTTGTCAACATTTAGTACAAGTTTGAGATGAAACAAATGTGAATGAGTAATGTCCGATGCAGCAAATAATTAAACACCGGATCAACAGAGTTAGCATGACAGTAAACCACTGTATCATCAGCGTAAAGGAATTTTATCCCACATTGTTAATGTAAAGATAATGAGTCTTAAAACCTTGACGCATTTTTTTATCTTTTTCTAGTCAAAGAAAATGTTAGATTTTACGTCAAAAAGCAGAACTGAGCTCATCTGTTTGTCGTTCTCATCTGCAGAGGAGGCATATCAGAGTGGAAAGGGAGTGTTGGTGCACTGCCAGGCAGGCGTGTCCCGTTCTGCAACCATCGTCATCGCCTACCTTATGAAGCACACCCTCATGACCATGACAGATACCTACAAGTACGTGCGGAGCCGTCGACCTGTGGTGTCGCCCAACCTAAACTTCATGGGACAGCTTCTGGAGTTTGAGAGGGACCTTAACTCTGGGGTGACTCCTCGGATCTTGATGCCTAAACTTATTGGTGTGGAGACGCAGGTGTGAAAAAGGTGAAGGAGCCGGAGTGTGTAGCATTGATACAGTTGAAGAGAGACAATTAGATATTGAAATTAAACAGTGCAGCACATTTAAAAAGAGAAACATTACACCTGCACACCTTTGGTGTTTGGCAGTTAGTGCACTTTTCATACTGTGAAACATGAGACAAAAAGCTGGATGATTAATTTCTTTAAGGAATATTTGTTAGACATGTTGATCGTCATTCAGTATGCTGTTTATAAGATATGTGCCAATATTTTCTCTAGCTCTGACGTCACAGATATATTTAATTTCATTATTGACAATACCTCTTCCTCATTGTTCCTGTTTACATTCACAGCCACATAGAAAAAGTGATTTAGATTGTGAGTTAATCACAAATGCATGCAGAATATGAACGTAACAATGAAAAGGTTCATTATTGTTTGTTCATTTACCATATTTTTCGGACTATAAGGCGCAATATCAATGACCGGGTCTGTTTTCATACATAAAGTGCACCGGATTATGAAGTGCATTAAGCGAAACAAAACGGTCAGATAAGTCAAAATTTATTCAACTCATTCACAATTACTCTCAACTTTGTTCAGTTGTACCACATAAAATTGGTTCTAGGTCAGTAAGCACAACCAGAATTAATACATAAGGTGCACCGGATTATAAGGCTCACTGTAGATTTTTGACAACAGTAAAGGATTTTAAGTGCACCTTATGGTCCGAAAAATGCGGTACTACAACTCTCTGTGGTCTTCATGACAAGTAGCAGCGCATCGGTCAATGTAATGCTCTTTACGTCCTGTGCATTTTATTTAATTTATCAACCACTGAATCATTACATGGATAAAATCAGACCTCAATTAATGTTTTTTGAATAAGTTATGAAATGTGTAATTGTGTGACAAGGACCTAGGAAGAAATCTTATCACAATAGTGTAATATGATTTTTATTTCAGCAGAAATCAAAGTACTGCAGTGTTGTGCATCAAGGGTTAATGTGTGCATGTTTCAAAATGTAAGTTACACAAAGAAGTTTACTATAAGGGCATTTACTGAACTGAAATCACAAAACTACTTTTTATAAACACTATAAGTTAACATATATTTGATGGTAAGTTTGGGTCGGAGGGATTTGTCCTGATGTTCTTTCAATCTGCTCTGACTCTGTGAACAAGTTTACAGCCATTTTTTGTTTGTTTGTTTGTTTACTTTAGAAAAGATGTGGTTGGTGTTTAGTCTGAAACAGACTTGATGCTACACGAGGTCATTGTTCCTAAGGCAACATTTTACATTCTACCTGAAATTTCAAGTCAGAAAAAGATTTCTGTTAAAGAAAATAGAGCAAAATGACTTGTTTATTTATGCAACTGTTAATTTACTGCTTGGTGGGCTGTTACTTCCAAACTGAATTTGCATTTTAAAATCAGAACTAATTTGTATTGATGCATTTTTTGCACGGTTTGCATTCTGCTCTTTAGGTCCTATGTAAATTTATTTATAATTATTCCCAAACTCCACTTGTTTGCGCAGGAAAAAAAAAAAACAACTTTATCACTCATTGGAATGCATTGTCTTTAAAACAAAAAACAATTCACTGTGAACCCTCTTTTTCTGATTTATGAGATTTAAATTATTTGTAGATCAGTTTTACAGACATTATGCAGGATACTTTAGAAATACTAGCTCAAATTTACCTTTAAAATCTCTTATTCTGAAATAATGACAAGTACAAGGTTAGACCTGAAAGCAGCGAATAACTCACTGGGTCCAAGGTCCAGTTCTTAGGCTGGCAGAGTTTTCAAAACTTCAGTCTATTAAAGCCGGTGTTTGCTAATCTTCTATCTGAAAATAGCCTTAAAGTGTCACGGTCAGCGGCCCCGCTGCCCCCCCCATCTGCCAAGCCTCTGCCACCTCCTTCAAGCTGCAACCAAGAAACCAACTGTCACGGTCAGCGGTCCCCGCTGCCCCCCCCCATCTGCCTAAGCCTCTGCTCCTTGTGTGTCTTCTGCTTTTGTGTATCTGTTCCTGTTATTTCACAAACTAAATCATTTCCTTCTTTTTCAAGGTGCTTGTAAATGTGTCACTTTAACTCTGAGTTCTGTTTGACTGGTTCTGTCTCTGTCTGCTTTTTATGTTTTTTGTTGTTCTGCTCTGGGTGTGATTTTCTGTTTATCTGATTCTGTTATTTTTCCACTCATTCCTCAGTCTGCTTCTCCACTCTGTCTTTATCATTCACACCTGTCCCTCATCAGCCACTTGCCCAGGTGCTCTCGTTACTAACTCTCCCTCTGTCACATAAAAAGCCTTTCTTTCCTTCACTCCTTGTCCGGTGATTGTTTCATGTTCTCAGACATCACAATCCTCTTCTGCCTTGCCTGTTTTCTGCTACCCTGATGATCTGCTCTGCACTATCCAATCTGCTAAAAGTAAGTTTTGCTGCACCGACAGCCTTTTGTTTTGTGGTTAAAAGAATAAATTATTTTTATTTTTTGAACTCCTGCCTCACTCATCTCTCTGCAATTTGGGTTCCAACATTGAGGTTCGTGACATTAAAGTGATAGTTTAGCTGTTCTCAAGTGGGCTCTTGTGGAAAAGTTATTACCAACTAATATCTTACCTGTTGCAGATAGCTTTTGAAGGACATCAGTTTGGAGAAACAGTTTATTTCTGACCAGACAGACGAACTAACAGCTAGTCCGAACACAACACAGACTCAAGTGAATTGCTCGAGCCCTAAAACATTTATAACCACTCATGCAAACGTTATTTTATAAACATATACTTCACCATTATTTTTACAATATCACATTTTTAGTTACACTGAATTCTATTTGCATAAACAAAATGTTTGCTGGATGTAACTGGGACCCTGTGTACACACTTTCGTTCCACCACATACCACATGCGATATGAATGACAATAAAGAAACCTTGACCTTGAGCTTGACCTTGAAAATCCACTGGGGGCCATATTTTTGAGCTAATATTGGCTAGTCCAAGAAAACCTACAACCAAAGTGAAATGATGCCATCCTAAAACAGCTCCAGTCTTTACAAATTCTCAGCAGCTCATGTGAACGCATCTTTTGTCAGTTTTGTGTTAATCCAGAAGGAATATTGTGGAATTTCTGCCAGTAATACACCCAAGCTGCATCAGAAATGCTACAACTAGCTGCTGCTACTGTTTGTAAACAACTGCATACAATTGATGACAGTGTAAATGTGAATGGAATGGCTTTGAAATTTCGAGTTGCTTTAAAGTGACAAAATCCTCTTTGGAGTAGGGAGACACTATCGACAGCATGTAAGATATTTGCTTTTATCACTTTTCCATGGAAGCCCACTTCAAAATGGCTGATTATCCCTTTATTTGCACATTTTTCTAAAGTGACACCATATTCACAGCTCTGATATGTTCTCAGCTGTGAAGCACGGGCTGGACTGAACACTTTTCAGATTGTCCAACAATGTTCAGTCAGGTCATCTGGATGGTTTCTTTTTTGGCTGACACGTTTCATCCTTCATCCAAAGGACTTCTTCGATCTGAGGAGCCACCAAACAAAACTGATTCTCCACCAACAGCATACTCCGTAGTGGGGAAAAAACAGTTTGATGGTGCTAAAATGGCCTCCGTGGCTCGCCCTCTCCCTCGTCAACTCCTCGGAGACAAACATGCCAAAGTGGTTCAAAACACAAAAGTTCATGCTCAGTAATCAACATTGAACCACTTTGACAAGACTGTCTCAGAGGACTTGACTGGGGAGTGGGTGGGCCCCGGAGGAGAGGGCGGGCCCCGGAGGAGAGGGCGGGCCCCGGAGGAGAGGGCGGGCCCCGGAGGAGAGGGTGGGCCCAGGAGGCCAGCTTAGCGCCAGCAAACTGCTTTTCCTCTTTGAAGTATGCTGTTTGTGAAGATCATTTTTGATTGGTAGCTTCTCAGATTGAAGAAATCCTTTGGATGAAGGACGAACTGCCTCAGCAAAACAAGAAACTGTTCAGATGACCTGACTGAACATTGTTGGATTTATACCTGAATTATTGAGGATGATTTTGGACTTTTCAGATTGGATTTCTCTTCCAGAGCAGTGTAAGAATAAGGTGTGTTCTTGTTTGAGTTCTTTGTGTTAAGGTGGAAGAAAGTAAACGAGCATTAGAAGAACATGACCCATATCCTCAGCAGAAATGAATGGGTTCCTTTTTGCCCCTCTCCATAAATTTTTATGAAACAGTTTCAGTTCTGGATGACAGGACTGACTGAGCGGCTTAAAGTGCAAGAATTGGATAGGTTGATTTGAAACTCGAAAACTAACCTGTCAAAAATGTGAGATTACAAAAAGAATAAACGTTGTATCCATAAAATCAGTCAAGAACGGAGAGTTCAATTAAATCTATTCGGTTTTTCAGAAAAGTTTTAATTAACGTTTTGTTGCCCCTTTTAAATGTTTTGAACTCTGCCTGGTTCATTTCCTGAAACCAAATTGCCTTCTAGTTAATTTCATGAAGTAATCCTGGGGGTTTTTTTGCATTTTGAGGGGTTTATTTTCTGTTTAAAACAAAAACTTTGATATGTATACATTTCTACAGTCAAATCTTCATTATTCTGGATCTACACTGTGCATTTTTTTATTTTAATGACATGTCTGGTTTTTTTTATAAGAAAGTCCATTGTCAGTATGAGCATCCTGTCGTTCTCTTTACTTCCACTGTAATCAATCCAACGAAGGTCGACACCCCGTCCTGCTGTTTTTACCTCTCGCCTTTCTCTCAGCTGGACAAACATGCTGTAGCTCCACTCACAGAAGTCGGTGTTGACCTTTCGAAGTGGGCCTGTAGCTATTCCTCAATTTTTATATGAACTTTATATGCAAATGGCTGCCGGAGCAGTTTCTTTAACTGTGTGGACTCACTGCGCAGCGAGACTGTCGCTCACCTCAGACACTTTGAAGGAAACTCAACGGTTTGTCTCTGATTCAAATTCAGGGCAGTGTGTCTTGAGTGTCATGGTGTGTGTAGAAACCATCCGTTCTCATGTCACACTTGAAAAGTTCTTCGCTGCCGTGTGGATGAGGACTTTTTTGGGAACATTGTATATCTGTGCATCGCCTATTTGTTGGAACTGGGTTAATCTTGTTTGTATTTTACAGCTTATTTGTACATTTTTGTGCTCTTTCTTGTACCAAATATTGAATTTAAAGACATTTATTCTAAAGAATATTGAAGAGCTAACTCGAGAAGAAAGCAGACCACCTCCTCCCTTCCTTTTGGGGGTAAGAACTCTTC